AAACAGCAATCGGTGGGTAATTACCTCATGCAAAAGAACACTATGTAACACATTTTTTGTTCCTAGGTAGTAAGTGTCATTTCCTAATTGCTTATGCCTAAAAAGTATATAAAATGGCTATTATTCCCCACAAACTTTTATTTTGTGACCAGGACAGTGATATTTTGAAATTTACCTATTTTCAATGAGAAAACAGGCGAATTGGTATCTTTTCGTTCACATAAAGTCAGAAAAAACTACATATGAATCAATATTAACATGTATTTATACTAAAGTAATACAACAATTACTACAAAATATTTAGGAGTGTGTAGTGTTTCGAGATTTACGATTATACTGTAAATCACTTTCACAAATCAGCCCCCAAATGTAGTCTCCAATCATGTTATCATTATACAGTAAAACCTTGGATTGCGAGCATAATTCGTTCCGGAAACGTGTTTGTAACCCAAAGCGCTCGTATATCAAAGCACTCGTATATCAGTTGTGATCACGTGATGCTCAGCAGACCATGCGTATATGTACTACAGTGGTCCCTCGTTTATCGCGGGGGATACGTTCTGAAAATAACCCGCAATAGACGAAATCCGCGAAGTAATCAGCTTTATTTTTTACAATTATACAGTATTCCATAATGGCGCCCTATAGCCGCGTAACTTTTACCTTCCTTTAGCATGTCCAGAAGTCCAACTTTTTCTGCGATGGTTAGCATCTTCCTCTGCCTTTTGGGTGCGACCGCAGGTGCCTTTTTGCTTGCAGTTCATTTCATCGACATTATGGGTTTTTTCGGGTAGAAAACTTGCAAACATACAGCACATCAGAGTCACACTGCTAGCGATTGAACATGTATATAAATCTGGCTAGCCGAACGCATTCTGTACTCCCTTAGCTAATCAGGACGCAGAACACATGTGCGGTTCTCCCTTAGCCAATCAGGACGCCGAACACAATGCGCGTTCATACTGTACGCAGGAAAAAAAAGCATGCAAAATTACACTAAAAGAAATCCGCGAAACAGCGAGGCCGCGAAAGGTGAACCGCGTTATAGTGAGGGACAACTGTACTTGTATTGCAAGACCTCGCTCGTTTATCAAATTCATATTTATTTTAAAATGTTGCTCGTCTTGCAAAACACTCGCAGACCAAGTTACTCGCAATCCAAGGTTTTACTGTACTGTCCTTGGTAGCAGCGTTCAAAGTCCAGTATATGCTGGTGGAAGCGCTCGCCTTGCTCCGAGTACGCTCCCATGTTCTTGAATTTATCAAGATGAGCATCAAGGATATGGATTTTGGGGGACATCCTACAGCCCATTGTGCTGTAGTTCTGCACCAGAGTCTCAACCAGCTCCACATAGTTTTCGACCTTGTGATTACCCAGGAAGCCACGAACCACTGCGACAAAACTGTCCCAAGCCGCTTTTTCCATACTAGTGAGCTTCTTGAATAATTCATTGCACTCCAGTATCTTCTTTATCTGTGGTGGGACGAAGACACCGGCTTTGACCTTTGCCTCAGCTTAGGGAAGAAGTCTTGAAGGTACTTGAAGGCTGCCGACTCCTTAACTACAGCTTTGAGAAATTGTTTCATAAGGCCCAATTTGATGTGCAGTGGTGGCATTAACTTCCGGGGGTCCACCAGTGGCTCCCAATTGACGTTGTTCCTCCCCACAGAGAACTCGGTCCGCTGTGGCCAGTCCTGCTTGTCGTAGTGCGCCTTGGTGTCCCTGTTGTCCCAAAAGCAAATATAGAAGGGAAACTTGGGAAAACCGCCTTAGAGACCCATCAGGAATGTCACCATTTAAAAGTCTCCGATGACTTCCCAGCTGTACTCATCATGCTTCAAGGCATCTAGCAAGGGACTTGATGCTGTTGTAATCCTCTTTGAGGTGCACCGAGTGAGCCAGGGGAAGAGACGGGTACTTGTTGCCATTATGGAGCAACACGGCTTTGCGGCTCCTGGATGAGCTGTTAATGAAGGGGCGCCACTTATTCTGGTTACAGGCGATTCCAATTGCCTCAAACAGACTAGTCACATTGTGGCAGAAGCAGAACTCATCTTGACGGCTGTAGAAGCTGCAAAAAGGTTGGTGACGCTTCCTCTAATCTGCGACTTGCACACTTTCATCCAACAAGTTCCACTGCTTGGTTGTGGTAGTATGGGTTTCTCTCCCCAGCTCCACTGAAATTGTCATCTGGATCTACAACGTCTTCCTCGCTCTCTGGCTTGCTGCTGTCTTCTAAAGACGGCTGCTCTCTCTCCGGAGGAGTGGGTACAGGGAGCTCATGGCAGTGTGGCACCGGGGCGATGGATGAAGGAAGGTCCAGATACGTGATAGCAGGTGCATTCTTGCCAGTTCAACGTTTGGAATGGGCCACCATGCAGAAGTAGCAGTTTCTTGAGTGGTCAGTGGGTTCCCACCAAATTCTTGGGATAGCAAACTTCATGGCTCTCTTTTCGCCTCTGTACCATCCTACAAAAATATATTTATTTCACCCATGACTAATGTGTAAGAGATTCTCGCAACATTTTTGATACATGATATATTTTTTCAATAACATTGAAAATTGTAAAACATTTTAAAATTTACATTTTTACAATTTTATAAATTTTAACAAATTTTATAGCATTAAATTCCGAGCAACAATTGTCCATCTTACCTTCCAGAGTTTTTTTGCATTGCTCGCAGGTGAAATGAGGTGCCCAGTGTTTGTCTTGATCCCCGGCAAGCATGCCAAAATATGCCTTGTAGGCCTCACACATCTTAGCAGATGCTTCCACAGAGTACTTTGTCGCTCTTGTCTTGATAAATTGGCCGCAGACATAGCAAAATGCGAATGCCGGATGCTTGCAACCTCTTGATGCCATCTCAGAAAAATGCAGGTATGTATCCACTTAGGCAGCTGGAACTAAACTCAACTGGTGGGCTTAAGGTCCCTGTATTTATAGGACTATTTATATTACTGGAAAGTTATAGAATGTTCTAGAAGTTACTCCAAGTTTACTCAGCACTAAATCTATTTGGAATGTTCTGGAAAATAGGTAAATTTCAAAATATCACTGTCCTGGTCACAAAAGCTAAGTTTGTGCAGAATAATTGCTATTTTCTGTACTTTTGAGGCATAAGCAATTAGGAAATAACACTTACTTCCCAGGAACAAAAAAAAATGTTACACAGTGTAATCGTTCGACGTCGTTGTCACGAACATGAGTAACAACAAATAAGGAGGCCATAACGCCTCTTTACCACGTGTCCTTTTTTTCACGCAAAAAACAAAAGTGTATATTTACACAACGCCGCGGCAAAATACGGAAAGGCGATGTTTTCGTCTGCTTGTTTATTTAGATTGTGTTACTCGTATTCCCCACAGCGGACGACGCTCAGTGGTTATATTTGTTAAGCTGTTATAGAGGCGCCCCTCATAATTAATCTTGTAGGGACATACTTCACATTTACGCTACAGTTACGGGCACGAGAAAAAAAACATTTGTAAAGTTACATTTTTCTGAAAAAAAAAATATTATTTTCGATGACAACAATTCAAAGTACAAAAAAAATTGTAATGATGTCACTGCGTCCTGGCAGCACTCCAGAGTCCCAGGTTGGGCTCAGCCGTCGTACATCTGAGTAGAAGCAGCAACCCACGGAAGCGTAAAGGAAGCCCTGAAGTTACTCCTTATTAAGTAATATTTCTAAGTAGTATTTGTATTATTATTGGTTATTGAAGGAAATTATATAACATTTTCTTCGGTAACGCACCCCCCTTATAACATGTACATCGAAAGAGGCTTCACACAGCGCGATTCAACTTTTGAGCTGTTTTTCAGGAATGCATGTCGCGTGTTATGCGAGGGATGCCTGTTTTGTATTGGGACAAGCACCCATTTTAAACTGCAAGGGTCCCTTGCTTTGAAATATCAGGCAGTTCACCAGCATTGGTATGAGCAAACTTGACTGCTGATGATGAGAGTCACAACCTCCTCCTCTCTACACCAACGAGCAGGACCATGGTCACTGCCAGGCACCATTTCTCCGTGGCAGCCCCCGCCGTCTGGAACACGGACATCATCACTGTCCCATCATCAATGTCCCATCATCATCGTCCCATATTCACCGTCCCATCATCACCACCCCGTCATCACCATCCCATATTCACCGTCCCATCATTGTCTCTTCACCACCGTCCCTTCATTATCGTCCATTCATCGTCTCATCATCACCATCCCATCATCACCGTCCGGGCCGCTGCTGCTAACTGCTGCACATTCACAGCAGCTGCAGCAGCTGTGTGCTATCCCCACCGACTTATAAAAGACACCGGGACGCTCTTGCTCTTTCTTAAAGGGCCCCACCCCGTTCTTATAGGTCCCACCTTTTTCTTAAAAGCTGTCTCTTTCTTTAAGGCCCCACCTCTTGCTTAACGGCCCATTTCTTTATTAAAGGCCCCAAATATGTATTAATGGCCACATCTCCTTCTTAAAGGCCCTATCTCTGTTTTAAAGTCCCATGTCTTTCTTAAAGGCACTTTCTTAAACCCTCCACTGCTCTTGCCTGGTTTCAAGTAATATTGAGCTTGGCTCGCTACCTAAAAGTCATGGTCATTTGTGTCTGTGAAATATAAAGCGCCTGTTACAAAGTGCATTGTTATTATTAATGTTCGAACCGCTCCAGAGTTTGCCTACATTGAACCAATGCTGCTGAACAAATGCACTCCAGGACGTCCGTGTGGCTGTGGGATGTGTAATTAGATTTTTTGTTTCGGCTTTTTTTATGTACAGAGACAGATACAAGAACTGTCTCTACTTGTGTATTGTGATGATAGTGAGTATCTGAGACTCATCAACAATAGTGTGCACATTTTGGTCGTGCAATATTTAACAAATCATTATCTTTTATTTTAGTACCTGCCCTGGATATGAACTGGAGTCGCCATTGTGTGCCGGGTGCGGACACCAATGTTTTTGGGGTCACGACCCTCACGTCCGTGTCCGCGTGTGTCCAGAACGCGTTCGTCACGCCGCCTCTCCAGACACGCCGCTCGCTCCCTCGCGGGGTCTCCCGCGATGACATCACCTCCGCGAGGGGGACTCCATCCTCGGCGCAAAGCTCCGCCTCCAGCCCCAGTCCCAGCCCGACACCGCGCCGCCTCGACGGCGACCACGCCGGCGGTCCTCGCCGCCGTTACCACGGCGACAGAGGGGGACACAACGAGGGGCTCCCGATTGGAATGGGGAGCGCCATGGCGATGCCGGGCGGCGCCAACCTCGGCGCCAAACTCGGCGCCACCACCCTGCTGCGCTTCCGGCCCGCTGAGGCCCACGATGGTCGGGGCGGAGTGGCGGAGCGGGGCCTGGCCGGGCGGCCGCATGGACGCCACATGCCTGCATCGAACCCGCGCCACCCCTGCCACCCGTTACACCTATCCCACCCGCACCACCTGTCTCACCCATCCTACCCGCACCACCCGTCCCACCCATCCCATCCATCCCACGCATCCCACCCGCACCACCCATCCCACCCTTGTCACCCGCGCGTCGCGAGCCGTGCCGAGTTGCTGTCCACCACCGCCGAGCCCCTCAACGAGAGCGAAGCGGGCGAGCAGGAGTTCTTTATCTGAATGGAGATGAAGGGGCACCGCGGGAGGGAACTCTCGCAGTTATTAAGACCGTGGGGGGCTGCGGTCAAAGCCTCCCCCCGCCACAGTCGTCCTTCACTCGGTGGGAGGTCGCTTTTTCTCTGCTGCTGCTGCTGGCAGAGTTCATGCTGGATGCTCATTGAGCCAGACTGGTGCATCTTTAGGGTTCTTAAGGTTCAGTGTGATTATCTTGAGCTCATAGAGTCAGGCATATTTAGGGCAAACGGCTGGATGTTAATACATGAGGCTCAGAGAGCCTCACTAAAGTTGCCTTTTATAATTCGTACGATTCTAGTGGTAATGCGTGAATCTCAGACGAAGGCACCACGATCGGAAGGTAGTTGATTCCTCCATGCACAGAGCTTTAATGTGTGCGTCTTCAGCATAAGAATCAACTCGCACCGACAAATGTTGCATATAAAATGTATAATCGCTCTTTAATCGACTGAAAACACCTAAATATATAGAGGACTGCAGAGCTTGGACAATTGTTGATATTGCTGGCTTATGGCCTGGCTACTGCCTTCGTTAAAGATGATATTCACTTTTGCCTGATGGGAAACGGGAGTGCCCGGAGAAAACACACACTTACAATGGGGAAGTCTTAATAAACCCGTAGCTGGCCAGAAACCTGCTTACTTTACTCACCGACGCCATCTCGATGTCTTACTAAACTTTTTATTTTACCAGGTAAAGCCAACTGAGCTATGTAGCTCTTTCTCAGAAGCGACCTGGTCACAAATGATAGCTCAACGAAGTGGCATATCATCACGTTGAAAATTTATAGCAGCCAAATACTCGAAACGCATGTTTCTAAATGTGGAGGACCACGGGGAGAGAGACATGCAAACTCCAAATATATAGCAGGCGTCAGGGTTGGGATCGAATTCATGTCCTCCTGCATGCCAGGCAAGGTATTTAACATCTCTCCACCACGGCGCACGATGGCTCCCTTCTCTGCACGATTCACCAACCCCGGCATTTGCAGCATAAGCCCATGCAGCAGTAGTGAGCGCGGGCGCTGGCATCACAGGGGCAGCGCCAGCGACGGGCTGTGACGCCGCTAGTGGAAGCGAAGCCTATAGGAGGCAGAAAAGCAAGTAGGTTCGACGTGCTACCTGTGCAGCAGAGGTGTGGTTCTCCTCTCCTAGGTGTGGATTTTATTTTACTCTGAATTGTGGTTATTTTCGTACATTGAATAAAAAAGAACTATAAAGTAAAGTAAAACGTAAAAAAGATTTAAATAAAAGTGAAACATGAATAATAGGGATTGTCATTACGGTGCTGTTTGTGTGTGCTTATGGTGAGTGTGGGTGGAGCAGATTGTGCGCATGTGGTACAGGCTCTGCGTGTAGTACAGACTGTGTGTGTAGACCTTGACACTTGGTGGTACAGTGGTGCAGGCTCTGTGTGTGTGTGTGGGCCATGGTGGTGCACTTGCCCCGACAGTCTGTTACAGGCTATAAGGGGGATCTTTGTTTTTTGTAGTGTGAGTGTGAATGGGGGGTGGGTATGTAGTTAGGTCAGCATGTGCGAGGGGCTGCTAACCCCTCCATCTGGCACTTTTCCGGCCAAGCACCACGGTGGAAACACCGAAATAAGCTCGTGCTGGAGGCTCCAGGGGACAGGCGTTTATGATGCCTTCTGGTCAAACCCCATTTGGCGGAGCCAGACTGAACCCCACCTCTGGGGGTTCCTCCAGGAACAGGATACTCCTACGATTGTCCAAGTAGAATGTTCTAACTCTCTCATTCCTCTGTCGTTAAATGGACTGGTACCGCCTGGACTTTTGTGGAATACAGGAGGTCTGGTAGACCGGTTCTGGGTCCAATCATCACGAGGGGTGGACAGTTCTCCACTTGGACCTGGAAACTGCCAAACAACAGGAAGTGGTACTTCTTTGCACAAAAGAATGAAGAGATTTGAAGCTTTCGTGACTGCAAGGATTCATATTCTTTGTTTTTTTCGGTAAAGTCAGGGAGGTAAAACAAATCTATAAAATAAAATAAATGAAAACTAAATTCAATCACGGCGTTTCGGAGGCAACACAAGCTTCCGTCTTTAGGTGTAAACCGTCACAGCAAAATTGCTGTATCAAGCGAAGAGAGCTCTAAGAGACCCGAGATTAAATACAGGTTAAGGGGGGGGTGAGCCAGGAAGGGCCGTGGGGGGGGGGCTAAGTTAAGCCGCCTTTTGTTATGCTGCAGGGGGTTAGGGGGACGGAGAGATCGCCGTGTGCAGGCGATGGCAAGTGGTTAAAGAAAGTTAGACACATGAACAGGAGGCAGTATTTAAGCTGACAAACTGGTTGCCTTGCAGTATACTGCAGTAAACTATAAGGCTGCTAAAGTTTAACTTAGGTTTCACTTGGTTAAAAAAGGGGCTAATTAAGCTGGGGATAGAAACCAACTGGAAGAAATGGAAATGGCTGTACAGTTATAAGGCAGCTAAAGTTTGACTTGGTTGATGACATCTTTCCAATGATTGCTTAATTTAAAACCTCTCGGTTGAAGTTGTGTCTATGTTTGTATATCTGGATGGCTTCATGGACAAATCTTTGGTAATACCGGGAGGTTTGCAGAGTACTTTGGTATCGGAGAAAACAATATCATGAGAACCCGCTGTGTTGAGACAATGATCAGCTACGGCCGAAGAATTCGTTCTGCCATGTTTCAAATCTGATTTGTGCTCGCGAATTCAACAAAACCCTTGCAGCTGGAGTTGGCATCATCCCCTCCCCTCCTGATGCCGAGGGGAAATGGGTGAGGTTCAAGACTGCGGCTCATGCAACTGCAATAGCAGCATTGGGTATGCAGTTTAGATCTCCCCAGATACCTTGGCTGAAGGAGGAGGTAATCCGGCTGGTTGAGAGAAAACGTTAGACCCACTCTCATCGTCTACAATATCAAACATCAGAGAATGAGGAGGCTTACCGCAACCTTCACTCAGAGGTTTGGAGAGCCGTGCGGCGATGCAAGGATGAGTGGTGGTCACGGGTTGCTGAGGAGATGGAATCTGCCTCAGTAACCCGCGATCACAAATTGCTCTTTAATTACATTAAAAAAAGTTAGTGTCTCACCTATCACCATCTTTAAGGGAAAGAATGGTGATCTGATCTCCGACCCACAGGAATTGGTCTGCCAGTTTGCAGAGCATTTTTATGAGGTAATTGGGAAGAATAATTCCTTCAGCCCAGCTGGGGCTGCAGTGCCTCAAACATTGGCAGAAGTAGCCACCCCTTGTGAGTGGTTGTCTGAGGTGCCATCTGTGGAGGAAGTACAAGGGGAGATTCTGCAGGCTGAAACCAGGAAAAGCGCTGGGCAGAGATGATCTTCCAAGCAAAATGCTAAGGGGAGGTGGTGTCTGGATGCAGACTGTCCTACATGACATCCACAACTGTCTGGACCACAGGACGGGTTCAGCAGGATTGGAATGATGCCCTGGTAGTCCCCCTCTTTAAGTATGTGAACTCGCAGACTGTAACAACTGCAGGGTATCTCCCTCCTAAGTGTGCTGGGAAAGGTGTTGGCAAGGATTAATCAACATAGCCTTGTAACGAGAGGCTTGAGGAGCCCCAATGTGGTTTCGGACCAGGGTCGTCTTGCACGGATGCCATACTCTGTCTGTCTGCTACAGTAGAGGTATAGCGAATTGCGACAAGACCTTCATCTCTGCTTTATTGACGCTGTCAAGGCCTATGATACCATCAACAGGCCAGGGCTCTGGGCTTTTCCTCATGCTTTTGGAGTCCCCGACTCTCGACTCACAGTCATTAAGGGCCTTCATGACCGTGGGCAGGCCCAGGTAAAGCTACGTGGCCGGGAATCAGAGCCATTCCCTGTTCACCTTGGGGTGCGGCAGGGTTGTCCTCTGGCTCCCAGATTCTTTAACATCATCTTTGTCCACGTAGTTCGAGACGATTTCTATGGCTGTACCAGAGGAATTTCCATCTGGTATACATACCATATCCACAACGAAATCAGGAAAGGCTCCAGGCATTGACACCATCCATGCTGAGATGCTCAAAGCCGATTGAGAGACCGTGGCAAATGCACTTACATACCTGTTCCAAAGCATTTAGGAGAGTAAGAGCATTCCCAAGGACTAGAAAAAAGGCTTAACATGTGAGACTCCCAAAAAAGAGAGCTTGGAAACTGCACAACTGGTGAGGATTTACACTCCTCTTGCTTCCTAGCAAGGTCTTCTAAAAAATAATGTTCAACAGAATTAACAGTGCCCTTGACTAGACCCTGCGCAAAGAGCAAGCTGGTTTTAGAAAAGGGAGAGGCTGCAATTGACCATATATTCACTCGTCGCAATATCATAGAACAGTGCCTGGAATGGAAAGCCCCACTATACCGCAATTTTATCTATATTAAGAAAGCTTTTGATAGCATACACAGATACAGTCTTTGGAAGATCCTACCAACATATGGATCCCACTAAAACTCATTGAGCTGATCAAGAGTTTCTATGATGAATTTGAATGTGCCATCTTGGTCTTGTCACATCAGGGGTACGCCAAGGATGCATCATTTCACCAATTCTCTTCCTGGTTGCCATTGACAGGGTTATGAGATGCACCACAAGAGACTTCCCAAGGGGAATCCAGTGGACCCCCTTCTCAGTGCTGGAAGATTTTGATTCTGTTCTCTTCTAAACAAACCCATTGCAGGATAAAATAACTCGGTTGAGCCAGTTTGTTGGCCAATAAGGTCTGCAGATAAATTTCGAACAGACGCAAGAGATGAACATCATCACAGCAACAACAACAAATACAACAAGGGACAACCACAGGAAGAGGTTAAAAGTTGAACATACCTTGGTGCTGTAATGAGCAAAGAAAACTTCACCTCAAAACGACATCAAGTCCAGGCTAAACAAGGCAAGGCACACCTTCTTCCAACTGAGAAACATCTGGAAGCCTGGCCAATACAGTTTAAAGACAAAGGTACGAATATATAACAGCAATGTAAAATCAGTGTTACTGTACAATAGTGAAAGCTGGAGAACCACCAAGATAGACATGACTTCCCTATCAACCTTTCACAACAACTACCTGAAAAAAATCTGTCGCATCTTCTGGACAAACAAGATTTCAAACTGGGACATGTATATCAAGACCAATTCAAGATGCATAATACGGGACAAAACAGAGAGAAGACTCAGGTGGCTAGGACACGTGCTGAGAATGGAACCCGAGTCCATAGCGAAAGCTGCCCTATGGTGGACACCACAAGGGAAAAGACCACGGGGCAGGCCGAAGACCACCTGGCGATTCACCATTCAAGACCTACTAAAGACCATGGGCCTGTCTTGGGGTGAAGCAGAGAAAGTAGCTAAAGACCGTACGGCATGGTGTTGCGGCTTTATGCACCGCAGGGAGCGAAGAGAAAGTATACATCTAATGGGAGGTTGATCGATGCCCGAGTGTGGTCAAGGGGTGGCTCCCTATCGATTATAATTAATAGGGAGCCACCCCTTGACATGTTATGTATGCTGATAATCTGCTAATTGGTGTTCACCCAGAGGAGGCGTTAGAGGCGCTGGTGATGAACCTGGAGCATACCACTAAGAGGTGGGGTTTTATCATCAGCCATACCAAAACTAAGCAGCTGCCTGGGTATTTTGTGCTAGCAAACACACCATCTCAACTCCCCATCACTGATGCAGCAGTTATAAATAGAGTGCAGAGTTTTCCATACCTGGGCAGTGTGCTTATGACCAGCTCCGTCTTGACATTAGAGGTCTCACTTCGAATCAGTTGGGCAGCATTATCTTTTCATCGGC